CGAAATGGGGATCTTCAGGCTCAAACTTTTGCGCGCTAGTAATCGGTGCCCTTTGTTGAAGCATTGTGTCTAACGTGCACTGGAGAACTTACGGCGGCATCTGTTTCTGGTTATTCGCGAAGACTTATGTGCGATATTCTATTCGTGTCATCTGATATTTATTGAGTGAAGTCTCTAGCTGATAAAACGTATGATACCCCTAGGTGAGAAGTTCTTGCATCATGGCGGAAGCGCAATGATTTTTAACCCTTCAAAAGAAAAAAATCTTTGTGTTCCGATCGAATGGGTGTACATCTACCGGCCCCGTCTGACGCAAATATTATCAGTTACTGTAACACAGACAATTTGGAGACATACCATATCTATATTACAATTACTTCAGCCGACGAATTTTTCGATAAGCTATTTGCAGATATTTTGCCGCGCATTAGCTACCCACGTTGTAAGCTTGAACTCAAGTGTATTGGGTGCCAACTTCAGGTTGGTATAATTTTATTCTGCGAAAAATGACAGCTGAAGCTATTATCTAACGGTTCAGTCCACCGACAAAGTTTTGAGTAAACACGTACAAACAATGCTCTCAGTAGTTTGTGCATACAATGAACATACATCGACGCAACCCCGCATTTCATCCTGAGATGGATTTACAGATAACTCAGGTTGATCTCTCATGTGTTTAGTGCTCACCTCAGTCGCCTTACTACCTACTGTGCGATGGTGAGCATATGTGATTAAATCACATGCGATCAGTGATATTTGTATCCGTGTCTGTGTGATTAGTCTGAAGAATGGAAATTAGCCCATGAAGTTTTTACACAAATTGTGATTCATTTTACAATATTTTTCGCATATGGCATTTCAAGATGAAAGTACGCTTAGGGAAGCTGAGTTTAGACTCCAACGAATGAGCACGTCCGCGGTATAAAAGTGAACGCAAGTTGCACCAATTATAAGAAATTTCCCTGAAGTGATAGTGTCTCGAGTATACTTTCCGGTTTATTCTTACTGGTAATGTAGTAATGTGCTGACAACATTCATCGAAATTAATCCTCACAGCTGAAAATTCCGCCAATTCTATCATTTTGGTGCCAAATTTTGTGGGTGTCTAGCAATATTGTGTTGTCATAGATGACGTTGCACTTTGAAAATTTTTGGAGGAATTTAATTCAGTTGGACCGGTCGGCATAGACAGCAATCAATCGCATTTACCACAAAAAGATATTAAGTCAAAGAAGAAGTTAGAATTTTAAGTAAACGTTCAACAAATCCGAAAAACTTCAGTGATTGTTTTAAAATTGTTTGACCACGGAGACTAATGTATGACACAGTTTTGCATCACCTATCTTGAGTTGGTTATTCAAAGGATATATAAGAAAATGAGCGGTTCTACGAAAAAAAATTGCGTACGGTGACCTAGTGTCACAATGATCACCAAAGCTCAGTATCAAATGCATAGGGTGTGTTAAGACACGTACTGCAAAGAATCATTACATGTCGATTGGAGGCGGCAGATATGCACAAATAATCCGAGTAAAGGGCATCGTCTTCGCCCCAGCAAACCATAGCAAAATTACTGAAGCCCCATACGCTAAATTTTAAGGGTGTTAAATATTACGGGGGAATCACCTGGAATCCAGATGAATGACTCTTTCGTGATGTTTCTGTGCAACTTAACGTGTTCCACCAAGCCAATTAATGTTGCATTTGATGCAGCACAATGAACGAATGATTCGCTCAAATTCCAGCTGAGTCTCTCTGAAAGCCAACTTGGTTTGCAGACAAGCCTATTTTGCTTATTCCGTAACTTTTATTTTAAAGAGGAGGCATGTTCAACGGACAACTCAGAACTGTGTTCACATATTGAGCTATACGAAGGACGAAATCGGCTAACTGTAGAAAACTTTTTGGGAAGCCTGTGAGTAGTATATCACGCACATTGTTGATGTTGTTTCTCTAAAAGTTTAACACCAAAGCACTCTTTATTCACTAGATAGCAGAACCAGAAGCCCCGGTAAGAATAAATGCATTTTGATTGGTTTAACTTTGGTAGAGGATGTTCATTTTCAACTAGAGTATAACTGGCTTAACAGGAAATATATTCATGGCGAAAAGTTGGTTAAACAAACCCAGGGTCCACAAAATGCCATTTTTGCCGTCCTGATCCCCAAATACTCATGTTCCATTAAATCAAATTTTCGCGCGCAATCCAAAAGCTGTGGATACTTTGGCCTTCCAGCAAATGATTTGCTAAGCCGACTTGGTCTGATGAGCTTTTACGCTACCAACACGAACGGTTTTGGGTGATGTAAATTTCTCAGAAACATTTGACTACAGACTTGTTTCGCAGAGAAGCTTCTGATAATTGGTTAGGCAGCATATAAAATGGGAATAAAATTTATTTTGAATTTCAATGGTAAGATGTACCTTTAGTTGCATGTGTAGAGCTAACAATCAGTGCACGAGCATCCAGAAATATATTTCGAATCCTTTGCCGCGGAAACAAGTATTTTGTTTGGCCCGAAAGACCGTTATGTAAACTTTTCAACCGCGTTTGTATTGAGAATGCCATACCAAAATGCTCGTCATAAGCAACCTGAATAAGTGTGCTAAAGTTTTCCGGTCTCTATGAATATGCATTTGCGCATGTTTATGGGAATTCCACAAGCTAATCTGGGTAGACGGCCGGCTCACCCTATGGAGCTGCCTCAACTGCCATTTCCCATGTAGTGGTTGCGAGCATTTTGCCTGACTCCATGCAGGATGGCAAATCTAGTCTTCGGTAAAAATCAATGACAGTAGACAGAAAAATTACCTAATGACATGAGATTACTTTTTACCGGAGCTCATATGAACGGCCCTCTTTTAAAATGATTTTGGGTATCACCATAAATACAAATATTTTATCTTAGGCATTTTACAATCTTCGAGCATCGGTGAAGATTTCGTCGCGGTAGTTGAGGATGTCCTACCTCCAGTAATAAAGGTTAGTTGTTAATTGCTATGTTGGACAGTGACCAGTCAAAAGATCCAGAGCGATGTTTTACCACTTTTCTGAACACCGGCGTTGCAGCCATTCAAAAGAAGTTTTCGTGCAATGAAGTAAATTTGGTGGAGAACTTCTCTTCAAAATCACCCTTGATCGCCATAACGTTTTAATCCTCAGACATAAATTACATGAAGTTGCCTCCATAATTTTGGTGTGATAAACCTGTTGAAAGGACTTTCAATGAAAAAACCCGTCGCTCCACCGGTCAGTCTCAACAGACCGAGAAATTCCAGCAAGGTTTGGGCGACAATCTAATGGGATACGGCTATTAGGGATTTTAAATTTTTTTCCGACTTACCGAGAAGATGTTGTAGAGCTTCTTCGAAATTGGCAGTGGCACCCGTAATAGTAAAGAGGCATTTATTATGTGGATCGTTTGAAAGAATTTGAAACGGAATCTGTAGTTATCTTGACCTTTACTTAGCATTTATATTGATCAAGTGTTCGTACATCTGACAAACAATGACAGATGTGAGATAAAGAATGATTTACGCATCTCTGAGGTACACCGATGATCAGTGTTACGCATTAGTGCCAAATTAAGCTGTTTTAAGCCTTGCTGGCCCAAGTACCGTCTGTTGTTTATTGGTTATCCTATTAACTTGCGGTTTTCGAGCATCAATTTAATTAGCCAGGCAACGTGTTTTTACTTTTGGTGTGACGGCTGGATTGTTGCTGTTGCCAGTCAGACTGCGCTGGTCAAGTGCCGCCTCATAATTAGAACGGATTCGATGCTAACTCAGATGTGTGCGCATAAGTCATATAAACCGAGGAATATGCCTCTTCCTCCTAAAAAAGTTAAAAAAACTACACTCCGCACCAAAGCCGTTTCCCTATTCATTTTGGTCGTTTGATTTGACGGTTTTTCATAACCAAGCCACACGCTGAACGCAGACAACGTTGTTAAAATTATATCAATTTCTGTAATCGCATTTTTAATGTGGTCACTGAAACCGTTGCGACGTCCTTTTATCTTCTCTTCGTGATGCTGGAATCGCTCCTTGTTACTGCTGCAATTAACGTAGTTTGAAAATGCGGTTAATCGGACCCAGTCACCTCACTTTATTTGTAGAGTTCCCAGTAGACGTCATGTCTCGATTCGACGGTATTGCCTTGTTTCAGTCACTAGGAGTCTGCGAAGGCCTGTGCCAAACTCTCGAAAAGAATTCTTACGAACGCTGACTCTGCTCAGGTTATGTGACACGAGTCAATCGACAAAGTGGCTATAGGGGTCTCTAAAATATCGTACAGCTTTCATCTTAATGTGACTTAACGTGCGACAAAAACAAATTCCTCGCGCCTACATATATTGCGTGACAATCTTTGCTGCGTATTTGATTGTTCACTACCATATTTTAACCCATATACTGACCTGATAAAAGCATCTCAAAAATATAGGACATTATTATTGTGTTTCCCTTTTCAAATCTATTCCGGGGTTCCCTAAATTTAGACGCACTATGTCATGATAATTTTGTCATTTTGTCTTTGACGCTTTTGAAGTATCCAGCCTAATTAAACGAGTGAATTTCCGAAATAGAATTTCTTCCGGGATGACGCGGGTTTTATTGCTGAAATTGGATGGCAGTTTTCGGTCAGCAGTCAGGCCTTGGCACACCATTTGGCGCATTATGCCCCTTGTGTTTGCTGCTGCTTTTAGAGGATAAGAAGTTTTCAGCGCTTTCTGTCATTGGAATCTGAATGAAGAAAACATTTGCCGCACAAATGTTTCCAACCTGTTGCAACTTCCATAACGTTTGCGCCTTTTTGCGGGCTCTTGTCATAAAAAACGTGTAAGATGTGTGATTTTTAGCTAGAGAATTAATTATCGGCTTGTGCATTAAAATGCAAACAAGTGGGTATTTATTTGTGTGGATTCCACTGAAGTCATTCGGGCTGTTGGTTGTGCTCAGAACACTAGCGTGGTTTACATACTTGCAAAAGCGAAACTCACTCTGCGGTCTGTAAACAAGGTGACATAATACTAAAAAGAAAAACAGATAACATGGCAAGCACCAGTAAACTCATGTTGTTCTACCAATAAAATCAGGTGCAGCCGGGGACCATGTGCTCTATTATGTGATTCAGATATCATGTATTTGACAAAACTCACGTAGACATGCGGGTTCCTCGCCACAGCGGACTTTAATTATAAAAATAAGTCAAAGGTGGATAACTTCAGGTTGTTAGGCCCAAGATGCCGCACAAACGTTCCCAGTCTGTTGCAACTTCGATAACTTTTGCGCCTTTTTGCGGGCTCTTGTCATAAAAACGTGTAAGATGTGTGATTTTTAGCTAGAGAATTAATTATCGGCTTGTGCATTAAAATGCAAACAAGTGGGTATTTATTTGTGTGGATTCCACTGAAGTCATTCGGGCTGTTGGTTGTGCTCAGAACACTAGCGTGGTTTACATACTTGCCAAAGCGAAACTCACTCTGCGGTCTGTAAACAAGGTGACATAATACTAAAAAGAAAAACAGATAACATGGCAAGCATCAGTAAACTCATGTTGTTCTACCAATAAAATCAGGTGCAGCCGGGGACCATGTGCTCTATTATGTGATTCAGATATCATGTATTTGACAAAACTCACGTAGACATGCGGGTTCCTCGCCACAGCGGACTTTAATTATAAAAATAAGTCAAAGGTGGATAACTTCAGGTTGTTAGGCCCAAGATGATCGTTCTAAATCAGTGGCCGTTATTTATGGCAGAGTGTTCTGCTTGCAAGATTTGCATCAAATGTCATTGGCTTTGATATAAACGTCCAGTAGAACTCACCAATGCAGCGCTCTAGTGCCATTTTCCAGCATTCCACTTTCAGTTTGCAAAAAAAACGAGATGGTGTGTAACTAATGCAGTAAAGACTTTGGGATGGTGATTCCGTTAGTAAAGTGTTGGAAATGATGGAGATTGAATGAATGCATGCAGTCGCACGTTAGAATGAGGATGACAAATTCAGAAGTTTCTATTAAGCCATGAGCATAGAAATAAAGAAAACACAACGCGTATTGTGTCCACATACACTGTTCACTGACGTTTTCAGTATGTCTCTCTGAAATAAAATTTATAGTTTTGTAGCATCATGCTATTAATACATTGTTGAGGTAATGCGAAAAACATAGGTAAGTCATCGTCAGCAGATGTCTTGTAGTTTAGATGACCCTTCCGGCAATGCCTGTTAATTAAGCCAGTTTGGTTACTGAATGGCCAAAGCGTATCATTTTTTTAGAATAACGTAATCAAAGCAATTACCAGTTTTTGGCTTCCTTGTACGAGGGCATATACTGTTTGCATTGCCATTAAATCAATGAACATTTTTTTTAAATCCATGCGAAAGCTAATCACTGACAACGCCAAGTGCGCATTAATTACAAGAAAATTTAGTGTCTCTAGCATAGAAGAACCTGGCGCACCCAAGCAACGACGTTTCTCATCATGATTGCATTGATCTGCAAAACAAATAAATAAGCAATTATCGAATATCTAGCCCGAACTGCAATTTTGAATAAACCTATGGGCGTCTGAATTTTACAACTTTAAGTGTACTGCACTGCTTCTTGAAATAATTGTATATAACTTTCTTTGAAAAGCATCAAACATTTAGACGTCAACCAATGTAAATGCTCAGGGTAAAAGTATTCTAAACGTACCGCGACATAACTCTACGTTGGGATCTACTGTGAATAAACAAAAAAATTGGAGCCTACATAGAAAGATATGCTATCAGAAAACGGTTTCAGGAAACTCATCAGCACCCATTATATGGGGTGATGTTTGTTTGCACATTAGGTAGCATTTCAAATTTTTCCGCAAATCCACTGGACGATTTTACGCAATTACAGTCAATGAATATGGTCAAATTGGCCTCATGTTTAGAAACCAAACAACCAGACATTCTCTTGTTTGAATAACATATACTGCAGGTTGAATTTGGCATTAGCAAAGAATAAATGAAAGGAATTTGGAGATCGAAAGGTAATGGCACCAAAAAACGACATTCTATCTGCATAATGTGAAAATCTTAGCCCATTGATATGTTTCTTTTTGACGAGAAATATGTCGGGATTTGATAGATATGAAACCCTACGTTGAAGTCCGCGACCACATACTTTGAAGTTTGCCACTTACTTTCATCTTCGGGAGAATCTTCGCCGCATTTTTCTATTCAAGGGCAAAAGCTGTTTAGTGCTTGCTTCTACACAAGATGCTACACAAACTTAATACAGTTACCTCAGGGTTGTTTCAATCAAACGACGTGTTCGTAGAAACTCTGTTTGTCAAGAGATGCCACACTTAATCAGGAGACACCTGCTTGGTTTACGGAAGGTTTTCAAGGGAAGTGGACCAAATGGGACCTGCATGGAATCTTATGAATCCACACCTGAATTGACTTACTTTCTCCTTTAATTTTTAGCTAAACAGTCATCCGTTGACCCCATAATAGATCGAATGCTAATCAAGCTGTTATTCTTCATAGAAAAGCTTTTCCGGGAGGCAGGTCTCCATTTCGTAACACTACTCGTGAACGTGCAATAAAGATGCTCAAAGTGATGACAAACTCTTCCACAACGTGCGTCGCGTGAGAATTTGTCGACTCTTTACGAGAATTTTTATGTACGGACAACGAAAGCATCTTGAATGTCAGACAACCCGGTTTAAACCAACGCTTACTGGCTACACATTCAGTGAGACGCAGCGTGGTGAATAGTCACCACCAACCTCTCACTAATTCGTTAAGAAATTATTCACAGCCGACTGACTGGAGCAGTTTCATCGTCCTTTTCTGGGTTTCCATAAGAAGTTTACTTGGGGTTTTTAATTTTAAGAATGCAGAGAGTTCACACTGGCAAAGCTGTCCAAGTTTGTTATCCCCCGATGATTTTTCGTACTTTCGATGTGTTAAAAAACACAAAAGCGGTTTTCATAAACAACGGTTAAAGCCACGTCTTACGCATGCAAATGTCGTATTCAGGAAGACTTCTTGCCACCATGCCTTTAACTGAAGCACGAATAAACATTTGCAATTACACCGACAACATTAACGCACATTTTTTAAGAAGTTCGCCGCACAAAAAATGAGATATTTTATCACAATCAACCAATTATGAAAAGATCAAACCATGGCTCAATGTAAACCAAAAATGAGCCTCAATAAATGATCTTGGGTGTGTAGTGGTCTGGCTACCCAATAAGTTAGTTCACCAGGAGTGTGTGGTAAAGAAATAAAAATAGTTACGCTAGGTTGGGTGTACAAAAATAAAGAAGTCAGATGGAACAGACTCACTAACAGTTGTTCTCTTTAAAATAGTTCGTCGTTGGCCCAGGTCAGCGAATAAACAATAATCCAATTATGTTGGTCCAGAGGTCTTCTTCTGAACAGTTCCCACATATAATAGATTCCGAAGATGTCTGAAATGTTTTGGTACCAGAGTTAGTACATCAGACTCGCGAATGACCGCTGCAAGCGCCAGCGAAATCAGAAGAGTGAGTCGAAGCACGTGACCACGCTCTGTGTCATTACACAAGTGCGCGTTTTTGTAGTTTTTCGTATTCAAACAAAAAACGATTATGCAATTGATGAAATACGTGGTGTTATAATTGAAGTAAAATAAAGGTACAAAACGCCACAAGTGTAAGAGAGCATAAGGGAGTTTTGATTATTTTAAACCGTTTTTATTGCTGTACAGAAGGACTACTCGAAAATTTCTACAATTTTGGCGGTGTTCGAGAGCATGTCAGCTTGCGCAAAATAGTATTTGCTTTTGCTTCTAAGCGGCACATGTGTTGATATAACTAAAGCGATAACATGGACATAACCACATTAAATGAATCAACAAAACACGGCTGTTTTTGAGCATTATGGAATGATTCTTCCAATGAGCGGAGGAATTCCAGAAGTACCTGATTCAAGCTATTTCAGCATTTATATAAATTTTCAAGACAAATATGCAACCAAATTCTTGTTCATTTGATGGAAACGTAATCTAAGCTGTTTTGGTTTTCTTTGGTTGATTGTTTCCCGAAAAATTTAAGCAGCTAACCTTACTGTTGAGGCTGTTGTTTAAACCACTTTCCAGGCTCAACAAATCCGTGATAAATGTTCGGCAACCAATCAAATGTACAATTGAAGGGGAGGGATGTATCAGTGAGAATGTTCCCAATGTACTTGGCATGGAACGCAAAAGGTATTTACAAAGTGACTGGGGTTGGAATATTTTTGTGGTGGTACATTCATTTTAACAAGATCTGTTGAAGGCGTCAGATCATTGTGATTTTAACTAAAGCAAGCTGCAATTTCGGGTAAGAATAGGGTGGGTCTGGTTCCTTACCGCATTATAAGCCACTGATTCCGGTGTTTTCATGAATTTTTGGTTTGCTTCCAACCTAGTGCCCTTGGTAAAAGCATAGTTAAGCCATTGATTTTCATTTCGACGAAGTTAGAACACGGTCTTTGCGGATGTGACCTCTGATAATAGAACACATTTCACTGAAAATAGTTAGGCTTATGGTTGAAAAAAGCGACTAGACTATCAACGCGTCATTTTTAACTATGGATCAGGAAGAGCAATGAGTTACGTTAGATGACAATGCATGCTCATAAACCACAGAATATTTTCTTATTATGTTATTTTTATATTTTTTGGACGCATGGCTGTACCATGGCATTCAGTGTTGCGGTCGGGTGATGTAGCGCATAAAATCATTTGTAGGCGTACCGGATGATCACAGGTCTCCGAATTCCCTTGGCCCGCGTGATGTTTTAAAGGGTGAGAAATTAATAAAACGTTAGAATAGGTAACGAATTGGTGAATATTTACACACAAATCTACTGCCAGCGCTTTGTGGTTGTGGTGGCGTAAGTTGAGTGAAGCGGTGCTCATAAACAATGTACACGCTAGTCTTCAATACTGCTCCCGTAGTTTGGGCAGCAATATGAAAGCTACGATCTTACCTTAAGCACTATTGGTCGCATGTATTCGTCCATCGTTCAATGTATGATTGCGAATGCTTTTTAGAATTGGAAGCTACTTGTTAAACACTTGACAATCCACAGGTTTTGATGACTTGTAAGTAGCCCGAAGACTTTTGCAATCAAATGTTATTCATCAATAAATCCTGACTTGATTTATTTATCCCGTCTGCCGATTGGTGTAATATTGAGACCGACTGTTTGTCCAATGGGGCCTGCTTGCGTAGTGCGATGCACTGATTTCTGAATTGACGTGTGCTGCGGCGAGTGAACGTTACCTGGCTAAACGCATTGTCGTTCTTGTGCAAGTGCTTCACTGTTTCGCGTCTGTCTAAGATGTGCATGGCCAGCTGCACGAGTACCTTTAATCCTGATTTAGGTATGAATATGTCACATAAGCGAATTTCTTTCTTCGTCTCTAGTGAATAGAGCGCAATATTTGTGTTCCCTTTGCGGCGCTCACGATTCGTTGGCTTAGCTGGATAGCTCGTGTGACGCCTTTCGTTTTCATGGTGTTTTTATGAGACGGAGTTGAACACAATGATGTTTCAGTTCCGTTTTTTTTTTTGTTGTTTGCGTGCCAGCGTACAACCTGTTATCAATTTACGCGATTTTATTTGCCACCATTCGATTTGCGAATAGTTTTTACGTCTCATGAACTCATTTTCTGAGCTTGAACGAAGTGGCCTCTGACGTTTGCATTATGTGACTCACACGTAGTTACTTGGTTATCCGAAGGCGTCATGCGGAATTAGGTGGCCACATTTTGATACGGTTGAAAATCGTTTTAAAATCTATGTGCTTCCGTTTTGTGGTGCGATATGCTGAAAATGATTTCGACTGCGAAATTTTACGGGATAAATTTTGGCTATTTCTTGAATATTCTTTGTTGTGATTATCGAATGTCGCCTGCTCTGTCAGGTCGCTATTGCAGCGTTGTTACATGGTTGTACAACGAGATACAACTTTTCAATCCTATTTAGCTCTCACGCAGAAGTAAATTCTCTAACCAAAGAAAAACGTGTGCAGCAAATGAGTAGTTGATATGCCACTGCAACGAATTCCAGGTATATTCTGTTGCAATTTTATAAACGGAATTTAGTTACCAAAGCATACAGACAAGATGATGAAATAGTTGGCCACATAAATAATGTTGTTGGGGCGGCAAAAGTGAGTCTTGAATTTATCGACAATAGCCCAACTACAGCAATCTGGCCAACAATCTACCACATTGCGGGGGTGTGCTCTAACTACACAAGAATGCATAACAACCCATTTGGTGGGTGGCTTCAGGGTTTACCTTCAGTCAATGTAAGAACCGCAGTGAGTCGGATTGGGGAAGTCTCATTTCGACACGGAAAATCTGGCATAGTTTCGTGGATAACTACAAATTTCTACTAGACTGGTTATCGTACCCGTAATGTCGTTCTCATACAACACTACGGAGATTTTCTAACACCAGTTTGAACAAGAACTGCATACAATTTAAAGTGGCCGTTATTGTAGAATGTGTTGGCTGCATATCCATTGGGGTTTTGACGCTTTAGTTATATGGGGAGAAGAAAGTTGCTTCCGGTGGGACATCCATAGATCAGTTGGGCGGGCGCAGTCAAGGTGTCCGCCTTTGTAAATAGCTACACCTCTTTAATATTACCAATTAAACAAGGATTAAATCTTCTATTTTACAGGTTCTCTTCTGTGATTTGTCTAGATTCCAATTCGAGTTAATTTACGCCACATACATGTTGCGCGCGCATAACTCTAGAAAAAGCTGCATGTATAAAAAATTGGTGAATGAGGATGCGCTCTTGAGGGTTTATTAACTTTGCTTCTTATTATTATGGACGAGAGACTACGATAAACGTAGTTGGTAATCGCATGCACATTTTAGTTATGCGGAATGTATCGAAGAGCAAATAGTCACTTCGTAACTAGTTTGGGGCGGAATTTGGTAATTTGTAAATTTTTTTCAAGATTAGCCACGCCAATCACATGCAATGTAAACTATTTACGTAAGGCCGCTTGAGCAAGTTTCTTCCTGAAGGCTGTGGTTCCAGAGAATGTAATGTTCACCTGGGGATTCGCAATCTTTTTTTTATTTTTCGCCTGACATTAAACATTTCCGCACTGGCGGTCCGTTCAAATGTCCTCCAAGGTTATGTAATATTTGAATATCCCCGAACTTTGTAATCCACAGTCCCATAAAACAGTGATTGTGCAATGAAATCAACATCCATTAATGTCATCTTCTGATACATTTTCACAAAATTACACACATCACTAAATCTGACAATTCGTAAGTCGTCTTAAATTTGTGCGATAGGTTAAGACGTGTTTGAAATGATTGGATCGATATCACCTTTGGTTGCTTATGAATTCGTGAATGAACTCCAAGGTTATGTAATATTTGAATATCCCCGAACTTCGTAATCCACAGTCCCATAAAACAGTGATTGTGCAATGAAATCAACATCCATTAATGTAATCTCCTTATACATTTTCACAAAATTTCACACATCACTAAATCTGACAATTTGTAAGTCGTCTTAAATTTGTGCGATAGTTTAGGACGTGTTTCAAATGATTGGATCAATATCACCTTTGGTATCTTATGAATTCGTGGATGAGAAAAGTGCACAGGGAATAAATGAACTCAGTGTTTTATATGATCGCTAGACAGAATATGACGTGGTTCCGGAAACTTGGTAGCACGTAAGGTTCTGCCATTCATATAAAACTATAAGTATACAATCTACTGATTAACAGCGCCTTACGGGTCAACTGCTCGTTACATTCGTCGATAATGAGAATGAAACTACATCTCTAGCGTAAACCATGAAGGAATATATTGAAAACTCCACTTGCCTATTTAGATTCCTATAAAGCTATTCAGTGGTTCCAATTAGGCAGCTAAGAAGCCCGGGCAATTGATGAGGCAGGAAAGTTTTTTGTCGACGTCACACTCTAACTTAGCTAGACTTTTAGGAATTCTGGTCAGAAGCCTAAATAAAGAAATCCTGGATCAGCATAAACTTTATCCTTTTTGATGGCTGCGCAACTTTTGACATTAAAAAATCAATGGGTCAAGGTATGGAAACAACCCAGCCTTTAAAGTATATCAGTTTCGCCCAGTAGGTAAACCAAATTCCTATGAGATATAAGATACGCATATTTTGGCATGCAGGCGGAGTTTATACACAAACCGTTTATAAAAATTTCCGGAGTACAGGGACAAGTAAAGAACATGTTAGATCTCTATGAATATTGCTCAATAAATTGGGCAAGCCCTCCAAATACATCCGCTCATGGATTCTTCTCTTATTTTGTAGAAATGGCTGTGGCGCTTATTTTGCGCTACAACTGAATTGCATCCTATCTGCAAATAACCTGCAAGAAAACAGGTAGCCCCATCACCCTTTGCTAGTTTTGCATGTAAATATCACAAGTTTTCGAATATTAGGTCTTGCCAAATCGATTTACGTAAGAGGAGGCGTTTATATTCACGTAGGTAAATCTTCCACCGTTAGATTTTAGATACACCTTGGAAGATTCATTAACAGGCGATCTGCGTTCAACTTGATGCTATTTTGCATATACAAAAGCACTCGTCTGCCAAGCATTAACGCTAAGCGAATTCCAAGCACTTTGTCTAGCACGTGTTAGACTAAGAGTTAGGCTCAAGTTACCGAATAATTTGAAAGGTAACATTAAAGTTTAAGGACTCTCTGTGTCACTTACATTTGGCAATGTAGACCCATGGCAATGAGAAAGACAGATAGCTTAGACTTTTTGCAAAATTGAGTGAATTAGGTGACCATGGTTGGAAATGCAGATAAGATGTTTATTCATGATGTATGAGAAAACCTAATCAGAAGACGAAAATATCAACCAATCAGGCTTCAAATATGCAACAAATATGAACGTAGTCATATAGCTAACAGATCTCGTGAGTATTTTGGATATATTGATTAACCAGAGGCTAATGGCGATGTTGTCTCATATAATATTGACAGAGTTAAAATTGATCACTTACTTTGATATTGTGACGAACGGTATTTTGGCTCTAATGTCTGCGTCAAACTGAACAAGCATGTCGTGCTAAGAAATAAACCATAAGTATAATATGGGTAGCTGAACAACGATGGAGCTCAAACCAATTTTTCGTCTTAAAAGGGAAATCACCATTTTCGTAAGGCGAAAATAAAGTGACCCGTTGGTACAATTGTTTAGATGTCAAAATACCCTAGGTCGCAACAACACTCGGTTTTATGATGTACAAGATTAATGTACAATCAAACTATGCTCCAAAAAAGGGAGCCACAACTGATTAAATTTTCTTTGGCTACTGCAAAGCACATAATAACAGTGGATAACTTTTTCTGTTCGTTAGTTTTGTTCAATCTGATTTTCATTCGGAATTCTTTGACGCAGTGGATGATACAGCCAGGAATCAGGTGAAGTTGACGCATTTGAGGAATTAGAATTTCGTCTGTGCACATTGGTGTGGCGTTACAGAAATCTGGGTGGCATCTACAACATAATAAACGCCAATTCAAATCTGAGTAAAGCAGGATCAAGCGACTATTGTGTCACCACCTGGAAATACTTTGGTTTGCTATATTTCTTTTGCGCGACAAACACGAACATTTTTCTGACAATTCTTTCTTTTTGGCGTTATTCTTCACTTACTCATACAGCTCGAAAGAAACGCAGTCTTCCTTTCTCAATTCGTATTTCTGGGCCAGCGTCCTGTTGAAGTTGAGACAGGAAGGGGCAAATCCTGCACTAAGACATATGTTGTCTGTAAAACCGTCAGATAGCTTTATATACTAACGTACCATAAAATGAATTTCAAGCGCTTCAAGGTAAGACATGCTAACTAGATGTTTAGATCATACTATTCATGATACTCATAATATTCCTTGAAAAACTTTGGGAGGTTACTTAATTCTTTGTGAAAAAAGCGTGATGGTAAAACGAGGTTAGGTGATCGAAATTTGCGTATCCTTTATTAGCTCTAACGATTATATCCATGTTTAAAATTTTGTGGTACAGTATTTAAAGGTGAGCATGAAACAAGAGGACCACTAACGGCAATAAATTTCAAGGTCTACATTTAATCCCTGATAATTGGTACAGTTATCTTGGATTGCGTTTGAGTGTTCAGTCATGGAGCTCAGCAGCTTCAAGTTATTACTAGGCCAAAAATTTGTAATTAGGCACCATGTACTGGAATTGTTTTGCAATCTTCATAGAGTATCAACGGGCATGGCGCGGTGGCCAACACGGGTTTTATAGCCACACAATGTCGGGTCCGAAAAACTGGCTCCACACAAACCCATGGAAACCATCAGTAATACGACTGAGAATGCGGCCGTCTGAACAAACCGAAAATTGTATAATTGTCTATGGGAGAGTAGTTCGGCAGTGTTACACGTCATTTGGTTTTATGCTAGTGTTGTTTATGCGTTTACCCACCCAAAACCTATGAGGATCTTGATAACATGTTACACTACCACTCCAATGTTCCGTCAGTATGATGAGTTAATTTGCGAACGGAAGATACTTTAAGATAGTTAAACATTTTCTCAAATCGTGTCAGTCGTGGCAACAACAGATGAAGGTCGCGTACGCATCATAATCTGTTTGCAATTGTGAAAACGGGCATTTCGCATTCAAATATTCAACTACTAGTGTTGTTCTGATGGAGCAGATTGTACCGGCCATTGAGGGTTAGTCTGCATTGTAGCATCGTCCTCTTAAAAATAATTCGAAGAAATGGAATCCGTCAGCCTAAATAGGCATAGGTTATCAAGTATATTCCATTGTCATGATAGCATTTGGAAAGAAAAAGTGGTTCATAAGTTCTCAATTTTCACCTCGTCATGTGGTAATTTAATCAAATGTACGGTTATTTTGCCGATTGTCTGTTCGATGAGCTGAGTAGTTTGGTAGCAAACGTTTCAATGACAAACGACGTGGCATCATAAAGCATCACAATAAGCGTAGTGGTGCGTAGGCTTAAAAATAATTTGAAGAAATGGAATCCGTCACCCTAGATAGGTATAGGTTATCAAGTACATTCCATTGTCATCATAGCATTTGGAAAGAAAAAGTGGTTTATAAGTTCTCAATTTTCACCTTGTCATGTGGTGATTTAATCAAATGTACGGTTATTTTGCCGATTGTCTGTTCGATGAGCTGAGTAGTTTGGTAGCAAACGTTCCAATGACAAACGACGTGGCATCATAAAGCATCACAGTAAGCGTAGTGGTGCGTAGGGATGGGGTTGCGGTTGTGTTGGACGGTATTCCGTTAGTCCCACGCTTACTGCACGTGAGTTGTAAAGGTTGTTCACCATCGTGCACAAGTATAAGGGTGTTGTAGCTTGTATGTAATAGATTTGTCACACTTGCCTTAAATCCAAACGGCTAGAAGGCAATGCACTTTTTGTTCGGCGTGTAGTGAAGCAAAACACGAGCCTGAATATTCACACAACAATGTATTAAAAACCGTATTGCCCACATCACTCCTCATAAGCCTCTTGAAACTCATAGCATTACTGAAACACGTTCGGTTCCGTTGAAATGATTAAATTCTAAATAGCGGTACGAATTTCCCTTCCATATGCAAGTTGTGTTAGCAATCGCCATCATAACTAACCTGCTCTTGATTTTAAATTACGTGGACCTCTGGGAACTCGTGCGCGAACCGGCACTAGAATGGGCACCTTTGTATTTAGTTATAAAAATTAACATTTAACTAAACTTCTTTCTTTTTCCATTGTGTCCGAGCTCCTCATCTTAATGAATTAAACTTATCAATGGCCCGGATGGCACGCAAGACAATCGATTGTCACGTTCAGTCCAACGTCTGAAGAGTTCGATATTCAGTTTCTTGCAAGCATATATACGATGCCCTGCGAGTTGAGAATTCTCTACTAATTTCCTGTCTGACGTTGTTTGCTATCCTAAGACTTTCACTCTGCAAACAGCTTGTTAAACAACTGACGCAGTTGTGACCCCTGCAGATTTCATAGAGTAAACTAGTAATGATGTGTACCCAGCAGGCCCCTCAGAAAACTTCACGTGTTCATTGGATTAGCAAGCATCCATTGATATCCAGCGAAGCTTGCGTGTTGCTCCGTTAAGTGCGGTCGCGCGCATCAAGAGCGCACGCGAACTGTTTTTATTGTCCATCAAATTGACCACTAGGCTCTGTGCGGCCATGGAAAACCACAAAGAAGACCGATGCAGAAAACTTCCAGTTTGACAAAATCGTGTTTATCAAACGTAGAGTTTCCCCTCAAATCCCATGGTATTCAAGCCAATGTACGCGTGTGACGCAAACCAATACACTAGTAAAGTAACTTTTTGTTTGTCTTGGGTAAATGGAGGTGCGTTACACAAATCTATTCTGGACTGTCGCATGTTGCGCTGATGATATCAAGTTGTTGGCAGATAAGCAAAGTACATTCTATCCAATGAGGTCAGGAGAGTTTGTTGCTGCTGATATTTATGTCTTACCGAGTTACGATGTGATGCCGTAGCGGTACACAGGGCTGTTTATTTCTGTATATTAAATTCGAATACTAAAATGTAAGGAATCGTGGGTTCCCGTTTTACCACTCTGAAGTGAAATGCTTGGGATTGGTTCTTAGGCAAGATCTCGTGTAATTGGATAAGGATAACGATAACGAATTTTCGGACAAGCTATAATGATGCAGGCTAATTTAGTATGTTTGTTGACGGATTCCTGGTTAACAGCGTTTCCGCATCGGCTATTTTTTGTATCTCATGGAGAAGTCATTTTTAAAAATAATCTCATTCCCAAATTTCGCCGCGAACTTCACGGTGAAAACGTTTCCGTCCGATGGATTGCTTGATTTATTGAGGGGAATGTTTGCTTTTCTTCTCTGTATTACACAAAGCGGTCAGCAAAAATCTGCAAATCAAAAGTTAAGAGTTCAGTATTGTGGAACCGGGTTCGTGGCTGGTTAGCAAACGAAAGCAACAGCCAGCACTTAGCCACCACTCGTTAGCTTATCTACGCCCTTTTAGTGGTTGCGACGATAAGCATGTTGCAAGAGTTGAGGGGAAAAGATAGCCACTGTTGTAAAGAATAGGACTGATCCCACCTAGAAGACGTTGAATGGAATGTGAACCACGTATGGTCCGGCAATTTTATCCCACAGGTAAATCGAGGTACGTACTGGGGCTTTCGAGAATAGGACAACACAACCCACCTTAGTCCCGGTCTAGCCAGCTCGGAAAATAAGGTAGGAGTCCATGTCAGACGCGTCCGATGTGAGCCAGTTTTTTTAAATGCGACTGTAGTGAAGGATTTCGTGGGGGCACGACCAAGGACTTGCAAAATACTTCTTTCACAACCGGAGCTAAGAGCGAAAAAAGTTGCGTCAGCAATGAAATTGTCAGATTTATCAAATCTACCCCAAGTTCGAATGCGAGCACCCCTAAAAGCCCTGAGTGTGTTCTTCGTCCTCTTCTCTTCGTCATTTTGATGTCTGCCAGTCGTTTGCAGGGCGAGTGGATCGGGAACTCTGGGAGCTTTCTTGATTGGGAAGGCATTTCTTCAATTAATTACCGCTTCTAGCTCAGGCCGTGCTATATATTCAGTAGCACAGTTCGTTCTTTTTTGAAGATTTGCAGTCAGCACGTTTTGTTTGGTGCGTTGGCCACTGCGGACTATATGTACGTCATGTGATATTACTGAATTTTTTCGATCCCTTTTTCCGTTCAATAGCACTGGCAGGGAATATTCATTTCGATTCATTAATTTCAGCAAGTAGATTTTGGTCCGGGGAGTTGTAGCTTAAACAAAGCCATCGTTTTTGTGTTTATGAGGCCTTTCAGCTCACTGGCGTTAAGCAAATGTGTGTAAGATATTCATGAACGCTCATGTTGTGTTTGGCCTTGCCTCCAGGTTTAGATGGGATGGGCTAATCAACAATTAGGCTGGAGGCTGCCGCAATGATGAAGCTGGAGCCTCGTAGTTTCAAAGTTTAAGAAGAATTGCACGCGACGCTTAATTGTCCGATGACACCGCGCTCCACGTTTGACAGACGTAGGTTTTCTCGG